ATCACAGCGTGTTCATGGATATTATAACATCCTAAGCTATGATTATGCCTCTCTTCTTTATACATGGCACAGTTGGACCCAGCTTTTCAGAGGGGCTCTTTGAATTCAGGAGACAAAGAGAGAATGCAAGTTTGAATGTCCTGACCTAATACCTTCTAAGTAATACTGAGGAGCATGCTTTCAAAACCTTGGCAAATGCTTCTGAAAATGTAGGATCTTACTGTGGTCTGGGGTAATTTGAAATCTGAGAGACAGGATCTTGTATTTCTGAGTGGGGTTTCCAAGACAGGAATGTATGTGATCTGCAGTATGCAGTGCATTCAGCACAGTGAAGGTATGGGTGCACAACTGATCTTTATGTATACTGCAAATCTGTGCACTTTTCCCGATCAGCTTTTTGACGTTTTATGATGATGAAAATTATCAGCAGAATGGGATTTTCTTGTCTTGGCTTTAGGACCAAAACCAGAACCCAACATTTAGAAGGAACATGACCCAAAATCTGCAGAATCTTCCCGGAGTCCAGAACAACTCTGCCTTTCTCTGCGGGCTGCTGAGTGCTTCATCTGTGCTCTGCAGGTTGAGCAGCTTTTGAGCTATGCTGGTAGTGGGTGAAGACAGTGGAATGAGCACTTCTTTCACACATATATGTTGTGTCCTAAAGACTCCCTTCTTTAGTCCTGTTGTACTTTGGAAGTAAACTGTCTGCTGCACACCCTGATGGGCTGAAAAATCTATCCGTTACTGAGTGTAGTTGTATAGTAGCAGAACAGACTGTCCAGAGAGGTTGTGGGTGCCCCACCCCAGGAGGTATCCAAGTCCAGGTTTGAGGTGGGCCATGATCTATAGCAGGGGATTGGAGCTTGATGAATTTTGAGGTCCCCTCCAACCTAAGCTGTTCTATGGAATGGTGGAGGCACTGAGTGCAGGTGATCTTCAGTCTGAGAATATAGGGATGCTTCAGCTTTTAATGATTTTTGCATAGTTGGATTCAGGCCTTTCCTTAGTACACAAGAAAGCATTATTACAGAGCTGCCTTGTTTTCTAGTACCCAGATTCACACATAATAAATGGGTTAAAGTTAACTGAAGCAAGCATTGATTTTTCTCTTAGTACGTGTGAGATTTCCTTCCTTGGGAGAGCTTGAGTAGTGCGGGAGACATTTAGGGGAGTGAAGAGAATGCAGTGTAGATGAGACATTACTTTTTGTTTGCATCCCTCAATTTTCCTCTCATGATCTTTTCTCCCCACTCCTTTCTTTCTGGTTCCAGTAGGAAGGGCTGCAGCTCCCATTCAGCACTTCTGTGGGGCGATGGTGACAGGGTGCATGCAGTTCTGCAGGAGGAGAGGGGCATGGAACAGAGATGGGCAGTGCTGGGTGAACCAGAGTGGATTGGAGTGCGGGGGAGTAGGTCTATAGCCAGCAGTGCAGGTACTGATGCTGAGGTTATTGGATATGTATTGATGGAATTAAATCTTTGGTTTTGTTATTTTTTTCTTCAAATGAAAGTTCCAAAATAGGGGGGGAAAAAAACCCCAAAACATCAATGAAAACCTCAAATGATCAATGCTGCTTTTAGAAAGGTTTGGCATGAAATAATAGCCAGGCTCTATTTGCTTTTTACTTTAGATAGTATCATTAAACTTCTTCCATCCAAATTATCCCCTCTGAACAAACATAACTTTCCCAATTGTTTCTCTTTCCTTAATTGAACCCAACTCCCAGTTGGTTTTAGGCATTTCTGCTACTTTACATTTGTGCCACAATTTGCCTTCCAGAACATTTAATTTCTTGCTTACTTGGAAATCTAATGTGTTGCCGGATGTTATGGCATATGGTTGCCTCACATCAATTAAAAACCAACATGGTCTAACCGAATATAACACCGACCCCTGCTTCTTTGAATGGATGTTTGCATCTGGGTAGGGATTAAAGCAGATTGTAATGGATTAGAGCAGGGATTAAAACAGCCTGTAATGGATACTGTGTTGGAGAAATCCATTTCTGTTCTTGGAGATAGACTGTGCAAATTGAGGGTTGTCAGATGGCTTCCTCCCTGACACCCTGCCATAAAAGAGGCCATGTTTGGAAACAAAACTGATATTCTGGCACAAGTGGGAAAATCCCCTTTTCTGTGTGCTGGTGATGGGCACGCAGTTCGCGGATCGTGCAGGAGATGGGGGTGTTGCTCACGTTACCTTTGTCTTCCAGAGTAGGGAAAGGATTAGAGAGCAGTGCTGCTTCTTGCCTTGGCACAGAGGCCTCCTCCAAGGACCAAAGGTTCCGGAGGAGCACGTTTTGATAGACAGTCCTACATCATCAGTGGGATTTGAGCCGTGCCTCACTATCAAACAGTGATAAACAGGCTCAGATGATGGGGTTTCAGCATCTTTTTTAGAAACACCTGCCCAGGTATCTGCCTCAGAAATGAGAGCCTGGGGTAATCTTGCTGACAGGGCATGAGATGGGGGTGATATTAGCTGCAAGCAGCTGCTCTGCAGTCTGCAGGGTAGCAGACAGCTGCTATCAGGCCAGCAGAAGCACTGCCCTAAAGTAAGCGTTGGTGAGCACATCACCCAGAATGTTCATGGCATTCTGCTCTATGTGCTGCACTGCTGGGCTCTTATGGTGACAGAGTGATGTGGTGGACACAAAGTAATGACTTGCATTGGTAAGATTTGGCAAAGAAGATATGTCCACTAGTCCTGTTTTGGCATCAGTAGCTTTGGATTATGGAGATGCTGCTGCACAAATGAGTGGCTGACCCAGGTAGGAACAAAAACTGCATCTTAAACAGTGTCCAGCAAAGCTGAGAAGATATACATTGCTGAGTGGGCTGCACAGTAGCTAAGCAGTGCTCTTACTATCCCCATGGCAGCTCTGCGGTGGCAATGGTTCTGGATCACCATCCAGAGACGTTCAGGAACAATGCTGAACTGCTGCTGGGCCCAGAGGGACTGGAGAAACTTTAACCATAACTTGGGGACAATGGCTGTGTGTTGCAGCAGCAGCCCCACTGTAGGAGGACGGCATTTGCTGGGCAGCTCATCCCTTTGCAGGGGACAGTGACAGCAAGATCCAGGGGTGGGATGCAGGGGGTGGATGCTATGTGCTCAGTGGGGGACACGGTTCTTGCAGTATTCAACCTGGTAACAGAACTGTCATTCTTTCCCCTCCCTGTACTATGTCATTCCTTTCCCTATAGTTGCAGAGTGCAGTCTTGGGGGCCACGCAGCACAGCTCCAGCCCCTGGTGTGCAAATTGTGTGGGTGCTTGTGGATGGGCTTAGGCCCACGTCACTGCTCCCACACAAACAAAATGCCATCTCCTAAACATTTTGGCAGCACAATTTGAAAAGCCCATTCCAAGCCAGAAATAACATCCATTGAATTGGGAGTGGGTGATTTGCTTCAAAACCCCTCCCTCCCACTTTCCCCTCTCCGCATTACGATTTGCAGCTCTTCCAACCACCCAGCACTCCGGGCCTTCTTCACTCACTCTTCTCCCAGCCCAGCCCAAGGCGTGCAGCTAACGCTGGGCACCGGCCTCCAGTAATAAGGACCCCTCCTCCCCCCCCCCCCACTCTCCCCAGAGCTACCGAAGCAGTCACCCATCCATGCTCTGTCCCTTCACTCCCTGGCAGGCTGGGAGACTCATGTTAGGAGGGGGAAAACTGTTGAGCGGTGGGGATGGCTGATGCAGTGAGTGGGAAGCTGAACAGATCGTGAGTTATTGACACTTTTCAAAAGGAGAAGGCAAGGAGTGGTAGGAGGTTGACAGTGGGTTTGATCTGAAGGCAAAGCGCTGCCACGCTGCTGCAGTGAACCGCTCCGCAGGGACGAGGCACGGACACGCGTGGCTCTGACGAGGTGACCCCCGGAGGCGGGGAACGCGCGGCAGCCGTGGGAGGAGGCAGCCTGCCCCAGCGTACCGTGCGATTACTCACACCTCGTCTGGGGGCTGAGGCTGTGGAGGCTCCTCGGGCTCCGCCAGCACAACGCACGAGTCCTGCTGGGAGAAATGCTGCGCCGGGAGAGGCAGCGCTGCACTACCGTGAGCTGAGGAGATCCATCATCCTCCCTCCTTTTCCCGACACAGTCCCGAGACGACGCTCCAGTGAGCTGCCTGCAGACCCGGCCCTTTCTTGGTGACCCCAAATACGTGCCGCCGCTCTCCCTGCCCCGCCGGTGCCCACGCACACGGCCGGGGAGCGCCGCTAGGGACGGCCGCATCCACGCTGTCGGAGCAGGCGGCGGAGCGGGGCTGCTGCGGGGCTGAGCGCGCTGCTCCACGGCGAGAGTCAGCGAGGAGTTACTCATCCCAGCCTCCGCCCACGTACAGAGATAAACACAGGGTGAGGAATGCCTACAATGCTGTAAATACGCGCGTGTGTAAATAGACGTTCGGAGAAAAACAGTGAAGGACGGCTGCTTTGTCTCGGCAGCAGCACACGCACCGAATCAGGAGGACAGGGCTGGGTGATGCTCCCGCCCCCGGCCCCGCTCCCGGCCCCCGGCGGCGCGGCTGTGACTCGGCGCTGGATTTCAGCGGCGCTTGGCAGGGCTCGGGGCTCCTCCCCCAGTGTGGTGTTACCCTCTCACTTGATCAAATCCTTGAACGTGAACAGTTTCACTGAAAAGCACTTTTGAAAAAAAAAAAAAAAAAATTCCACCAACAGTACGGAACAGCATCCAACTACCGGGGAGAAAGGGATTTGTTTCTTTTTCCCTTCTTTTTCTTTTTTTTTTTTTTTCTTTCTTCTTTCTTTTTTTTTTTTTTTTCCTCTCCCCCCCCCCTCTGGTCAGCGTCTCAGAGGCTGAGAAAGGGGGAAGAGAAAGAAGGAGAGCGAAAGAAAGAAGGACCTTCTGCAAATTATTATTATTATAATTAAAAGCCAGCCCCTTTCTCCTTAGGGAAAAAAAAAAAAAAAAAAAAACACCCTAAACGCAGCGGCTCGCCCCCCTTCCTCTCGGAGCCCCCCGACTCGCTCCGCAAAGGCATGGAGAAGGGGACTAACTGCTTTCCGACCTGCCACACCGTTTTCCTCGCCTGGACATGGCTCTTACTTCTCTCCTGGTGTTGCACCGGCGCCGAAATAACTTGCAGATCCTGCTCGTCTCCATCGCCCTCCTGGCCGTCCTCCTCGTCTCGCCTTAGGCAGGAACAGCGACAGCCACCGCCGCCAGCGCCGCGGGGATTACGGAGCTGGCCGGGCGGCCGTGCGCGGAGTTCCACCGGGGAGGTGGCGACTGCGGAACCGCTGCCGGCTGGGGAACCGGGGGGCCGCCCGGGGCCGCGGGGTGCGGAGTTCCTTTCAGTTGGGGCGGGCGGCGGAGCGGCCGGGAGCCGGGGTTCGGCAGCCCCACGAAGCAGGAGGAGCAGCGAAGGGCGCCCGGCGGAGGGCGGCGGTCGCGGAGTGCCCGCGACCGAGGGGCAGCGCAGCACCAGGGCTCAGCCCCGCGCTCCGCCGGAGGAGGGGAGAGCGGCGCGGCTGCGGGGGGGCTGAGGAGCTCCGGCTGGGCAGCACTACCTTCGCGCTCACCGGGGATGCTGCGCACAACCAAGCTATGGTGCACTGGTCCGGGCACAACAGCAGCGTGAGTACCACCACATCGCTTCGGGTGGGACAGGAGGGGAGGGATGGGGCTGCGCTCGCCCCTTCGGGTGCGGCAGAAGAGGGAGCTAAACGGGTGTCTTGCTTTTAGGGCAAATGGGAATCGGACGCGTAGCGATCGCCCCATGCAAAAGAGAAAAGTTTTGCTGGGGAAAAAAAGCAAGAGGCACCCCCACCCCGCACCCTGCGCAGCTGTGCTCTGCGGGGTTACGACGGCCCGAGCGCCCCCAGGTGCCAGAGCCCGCTCCCTTCCTTGCTTAGGAAGACCCCCGGCTCTGCCCCCGTCCCGTGTGCCGCACAGCCTGGTCCTCACGCTCTGCCTCTTCCTATGTGATGTACACCTTGGCACGCTTCGCTGCCTCTGTGCCGGGGGGTGAGTGATGGGCAGTGGTGATGGAGAAGCCCTCCCGTTCACAGCTCTGCGTGCTGGCGACAAGACGGATCCCATTAATTCATTAAGGGGTGGAAAGCTCCTCAGCATGCTGAGGGATTCCTAGAGGAGACAGGTAGTGTGAGCACAGGGGAAAGTTTGTGAAAAATCCCTGGCATCTCATGCCTTTTCCCTGAAGTCAGTGATAGGAAGGAGCTGCCACAACCCTGAAAGTTTGTGGGGCTGCTGGGGGGGGGGCATCCCCAAACCCGCAGTGCCATGGTAGTGCAGGGCCCTCCCTCACACCCTATGCTGTAACACCCGGCAGGTGGATGGGGACAGAACTTACATTTTCTTTTAAGCTGATACCACAAATGCTATTTCCAAAATCTGTGAGCAGGCACAGTCTTAAGGGCTCCTGGAAACCTTTATGCCTGGTGACAATATTCCCATTATTCTGATTACTGTAGCTCCTTGCTGCCTTGAAAATGCCTCTTTTATTGTTTTGCTGCTATTGGAAATGTGCATAAAGCAATTAGAGGCACAGAACAGATCAGCTGGATTTTCAGATATATCCCTCATGAGATTGATTAGTCATTAAAAAGCAAATGATCTGTCTATCTGCCTATCTATCTCTGCATCAGCCACAGCTTAATAATGTGCCATTCAACCACCTCCTTACATTTTTTGACTGGAAGTTTTTCTCTATTTATTATTTCTGAGGCAATAATGCTGACAGCAATGTAGATGTTACTTTGATTTAACCAATTTTTAAAGGCAGTTGTGTTTGCCAGACATGAATTCCACTCTCATTAAAGATGAAAGCAAACATCCAAGAGAAAACAGCCTCATGGTATATTTTAGCACTACACTTGTCTCTGGGATTATTTATTTTTAATATAATGTGGCATGAAATAAAGAAAACAACCTACATGTCCTCTCTTTTGTTTCATTTCAGTGCTGAATCAAAGGTGTTGAGCAAAAGAAGCTCCCTCATCCCCTCCCAGCCTGGATTCTGATAGTTGAGAGTATTTCTGATTAAAGTAATAGAGAAAACTCATTCTATAGGCATTTGTGGGGGGAAGAAAAAAAAAGTTATTTTTTCAAAGATACAAGAAAATGATTTCATAAAATCCCCGCACCTTCTTCTGCTTCTTTCATAGAAATATGCCATTTTAATTACTAGCTTCATTTATTCTTTAATTCCAGATGACAGAGAAGGCATAAGTGATAAAGGCAAACTTTTTGATTGTTCACGACTTTCCATTAAGATTTTGCACCTCAAGGTACCACGCACTGAAAGCTTCTGACTCAAAAGCATAAGGAAATGACTGGTGTTTGCTGCCAGTGTGGTGTCTGTGGGAAGGAAAAAGATGCACGTTAAGAAATAATAGCGTTGCTTCTCATGATTTTTTCTGGAGTGGAGTTTGGCACTGGGAGACTTTTCACTCCTGTCTTTTGGAGAGCACACACTTCATTCAATGATTAATTGGATTTTATTTTTTTAAAGCAGTGTATCATATGACTCCAGAGGGACAGTTAAATGCTTGAAGCTGAGCCCTTTCATTTATTATCAGAGAAGGCTGACGGTGGTGCCTGACTTTCTGCTGCAGCCCAGTTTTTTCCTAGTTTAACTGTTGGGTTGGCTGTGGCGTGGGGAGGTCAATCACTTTGCCCAAGGTCACGCAAGGAGCTAGTGTGACCTCTGTTCTAGCCACTTCTGTTCCCTATCTCTCACTCTAAGATATGCTAAGAAAGCATATGCTTTCTTAGTTCATAGCAGATATAAAGTAGCTCGAAGCTGGCTTGAGAATGGCCAGAAGATTAATTCATGTCTCGTGACTGTGCTCGATAATCTAGTAGAGCACGTAGGAGATCTGCTTGTTACTGCTTTTAGGCTACTGAAACAGAAAACATGCAAATGGATTGCTTTTACCAGTTTCCTGTTACTTGAAGAGAGTTCATAACTGAGGCTTTTTGGTTTATGATTTATTAAAAACATGATCAATCACATTTCATGTCATGAAGCAGTACATTTCAAATCAAGCAGTGGCAGTGGGGGTTTCCTAAGACTGGATGGATTTGGAAAGAAGAGGGAATGATCGTTATAAAAAAGTATTTGCTTTTTTTCTTTTTACTGGGATGTATACATGTACAGACACTATAGAGGGAGATATTTGTAGCTGCTGTATGTTCTGTTACCCATAATATTTAGAACCTCCTGCAAGTATTTTACTGTTACATTAAGAGCAACTCCCCCTCTTTTTCCTCTCCGTCTCCTCTTGCTCAAATCTTAATTTAACATATTAAACATATTAAAAAAAATAATCCCTTCCAGGCAACCAACTTTTGTTTTCTCCCTTTGCAGATAGTGAGGTCAGGATTAGAATAGAGGCAGAAACCTGGTGAGATTGGGGAATTTGGGCTCTCTGCTTTGTCCTGCCCACAAGCTTTCTTTGTGACCTTAGAAAAGACAATTAACCCAGCTGAATCTCCTCTTCCATGTTAAATGAGAATAGTACTGCTTACCTCCACAAAGTGGTGTTGTGGAGCAGAATTTTGTTTTGTACAATACCTGAAGATCTTCAGGTGGTAATTACTAGGAAAATGCAAAAAAAATGTTCAGCATAGAAATGAGGTTTGTGTTCTCTGACTGCTATCTCAGGAGCTGCACTTGGCTTAATTCTCTGGGTTTGATATAAGAAAAAGGTGACTTACACTTAAGAATCAATCTGTCCTATAGAAGCATTTATTGAGAGAGGTTGCTGAAGCTCTTGAGGGACCTGCTGTAGATCAGATAAAATGTTTTCTTGTTATGGCCTTTCTGAAAAAAAGGAGAATTTTTAGTGCAAGCTAGCATTATTTTCAGAAGATCTGCAAGCCATTCTGTTTAAAAACCTTTCCACTCTGCACAGAGTACCAATGTGCCATTCAGTGAGCAGTTGTATCCTCTTTACTTTTTTTCCCTCTCCCTAAGTGGTTGTGTTATTGCATGAAATTTTTCCTTGTTCTGCTCACCAGATGCTCCCTCCAACCTTCCTGTGAAGATAATCTGATTTCTCAGATTATCTTTTTTTCCTTTTTCCCTCACATATACCTAAGATAAGGACCCACAAAAATAAGCAGCATCACTTTTTTAATGTTGTTACAGCTTTAAATCTTGTTTCTTGACAATAATTTTTTTTTAAAGTGATTTCAATGAGAAGAAATGGATAAAACACTCAGATTGCCCTGTTGATGTGATCCTTAGTGAAATGGTGCACCAGGACACCAGTTGTCATTAGGTTTCAGAGTTATCACTCTGATGAATGTAACTGTTTGTAGGAAGTATTTAATTGTCTATGCTTTTTTGATGGAAGCCCTGCAAGTTCAGTGTTTTGATCTGTTCTATGTAAGAAGCAAAGATACACATTTTTAGTTTTCTTTCAACCTCTAGAAGATATTTTCAGTCCATTTTCCAATGAGTGGCCTCAGTTTACGACCACAGTGTGCTTCACCCATCTCAGTATGCATTTCCTTTCTTTCTAGTAACAACTTCAGGCCAAAATTCAGACTGAAAGATGAGAATATGTGCTAGAATGCCACAAAAAGAAAGGACATTTGCCTAAGGCATGTGTAGCAGTTGTACTGATGCTTATAGTATGATCCAGGCTCTGGAAGTTGGGGAAGATAGGATTAGAGCTGGCAAATGGCTGTACAGGGTCTTGTTTTATCATGCCAGCCTACTGCTGTCATTTCTAGTATTAGTACGATTATGAGATTCACTCCAAGACTGGGAATATGAGAAGTCTTAGGCAGAGGAGTTTGGTGAAGAGGTGGCTAATAATACTGTAGTAGCCAACTGGTACCTATAGTAGAATTAGAAATATGAAGCTTATCTTATTGATAGGAGAGCATATAATCAGAATATGTCCAAGTGGACACTGAGAAAGAGTTCAGTCTCAAAGAAAGTGGTGCTGCAAGCCACATGGCTTTTAAGACTCAGACATGATCTGATGGTGATAGACCTGTCCTGAACAGGGTTCTGTGTTTCTTTTTCTCCTGCCACCAGAGATCCTTTTGCTTTACCTTATGCTAGTTCTGAGGGCTGGCAGTGTAAGGCAAATTGTCCAAGTGAAGCCTGTCTTTTCTGGGAATGATTCTTCTGAATGCTGTTGGCAGTGTTCTGGTGTGATCTGCTAATGTACTGGTGGTTTGATGCTGAGACATTACTCACTCCCATGGTGAATTACAAGCTGGGGAGGTTGATGGCCTTGCTGCCTGCCAGGTAGTTTTTCATTAAGATGCCTAACAATGCAGTGCACAATGGGCAGAAGGAGGTGGGCAACATTTGCAATTCCAAATGGATTGCTGTGCTTGGAAAGGATGAAGGGGAGAAAATGAATCTTTAGGCAGGGAATGCTGCAGTTAGTTGTCAGCCATGGGTAACTGCTGCAGTAGTCCAATTGGATTCCAGTCTAAAACGTTTACTCCTAAATTTTAAGATAGTGGTAGAGCAATCATATTAATTTCACTGAATTTGGTATATATTTTAATTGCTATTCTAGACTGATTTTTCTCCTCTAATGGCTTTTGCTTATGTTGAGGTCTTGTTGATACTGAAGGGACACCAG